CCTCTCTCATCTTTTTAAGTGGGAGAACTTGCACAATTGGTGGCTGACTAAATACTTTTTTGCCCCACTGTATATAGATAATATACATTCTTGTCTGTTGTTCATATACTTCTCTCTTTCCCTGCTTTTGCCTGCCTTTTTTCCTGTTTTTGCCAATTAAATGTTTTGACATTTGCTGATGTTTAATAAATAGCATTAAGCTATATTTTTGCTAGCTGAGCTGAAGGGCATGTGTGCTTGCTGGGATCTGGATATAGGGATTGACTGGGAGGGTGCTGGGTGCAAACTAAACTGGAAATTACCCACAGTTATAATAGGCAGACAGCACACCTTGGGGACACAAAACCGCTTCTGCCATGCCAGTGCAATAACATTCGATATGTGTATACGAGCGTATTGAAAACTATAAGACAGATATTGCAGTACTCACTGTACGGGACTAGGGTGATCTGCTGAAAATCTGTACCCAAGAGATTTTGAGTAGCACATTGGATAAAGATAGGCTCATCTACTCTGTGAAAGTGCAGCTTGCTTGTCACAATATAAAGTTTCAGGTCATCTCTGTATGTGAAATTTGTTTGCAGATTCATTTCTTCTGAGGTATTCCCCAGGATCTTGGTGGTTTTCCCAGCACACCTGTTTTGGAAAGCAATGAAAGAGAGTTTGAGCAGCCTCTCCATCATACTGAGTAATATGTTACATTTATACTGCAGCACAGTCTTACACTTGCATATCTGGAGGATAGTCCCACTGAATTAAATAAGGTTTCCTGGTAAAACTGTCCTATTACAGAGTGAATTATTCAACCCAGACCAGGGTACACCAACAAGTGATTCAGCCACCTTACTACAACTAGAAAGGTCTGTGGTCTGGTCAGTGTTGGACAGGGGACTCTGGATATTCCTTTGGTATCCATGATGGAAGAAAGACAGAATAAAACTGTAATAAAAAAGAAAACTCTTTAAGTGCATCCATACCTGGAATACACTGCTCTGGTCACTATATTTCAAAAAGTATATTGTGGAGTAATAAAATGTGCAGAAAGGGACAACCAAAATATTTAAGAATTCAGGAATTCCCTATGAAGAAAAGTCACAATGACGGAGGCTTTTTAACTTAGAAAAAAGGCATGGAAGCATGGACATAAAGCAGGGTTAACGACAGAGCATCTGTAAGCACCAAAGCATCTGTTGGCATATCAAATGGTAAAACAGCAGCAGCTATTATTCTTATCGTTATTATTTTGCAGCTTTCTCAGAGGAATTATGGAGAAAGCATAATGGCCAATAATTTTGGACAAAAACAGCCCCTGTGAGACCACAGGGATGCTCAGCATATTCAGGGAAGGTTTGTGGAAGTAAAGGTCTCCTCTTCCTCCTCCTCCTTCAAAAATGTATGGGATAACAGAACCTTCCCAAAACAGGGTTCAGCATACTCAGTAACCATGGAAAGTTGATGGTCAACTGGAAAAATGAAAAGGGAGGAGGAGGAGGAGTAGAGGACAACCTTCTGGAGTTGGGTATACTCAGGAGCTGGAAGGTTGGACAGCAATGCCCCTCTGAATGCGCTGAGACATTTTGATGCAGATGTCACTTATTGTGTGATTCAAATCATGAATTTCTTCCATGTATGATAAAATTATAAAAAGATTGATCTGCAGGGAATCCCATGGCAAGTTCTTTCCTGCTGTCCTCTCCACCCAGGCCTCTAGGTGCAAAAGGACTCAATACATTTGGTGTAAATGTTCATCTTACCACTGATCATCATTACAGGTATACCAGGTAACCTCCGGTTGGGGCATTCCTTCTGTGGTACAGATCACCGTTTGCTCCCCATTTGTTTTGGTGCTGCAGTCTCTCAGATCAGTCACTTTAGCTGGGACTGGTTATATTGGAGAAAAGACTATGAGATAACAAATAATTGGGAGTAGGGGTATAGAGCTTTCACAATGGAAGGCTTCCTGAAAGATTAACAGTACAAAGAGTATTTTCTGAATCAGAAACATGAAGTTTGAGTTTATTATTTTAATCAACTTATTTCTGACATTCCATTTATCTTGTATTTTATTTATAGAATTTTTAAACTATCTGAGTGCTTTTAGTTTCATGTTTATAAATCTCTGGAATTAAGTTTATTAGGAAATCCCCTAAAGTTCTGGTGACATACACAGTAAGCAGTTATTGAGCAATGCTGCTACTTGGAAGATTGCTAATAAATGATGCATTGTAGTTATGAGCCTGTGAGCAAACTAATGATCACTTCAAACCACAGAAAACATGGCAGCACTAATATCTAGTAGTCAGGCTTGCTAATCACTAATATGCATACAGTGGTCCTGCATTGAGGAAATAATGCATACTTAGCAATGGGAGAAAATTTCTACCATTTTACACAACAAATGTAAAAATGCAGGTCAGTCTGTACTAAGGCCTCCCTCATCTGTGATTTGATCGTGCATGAGAGGACCAACCTGGCATGTACATGTATTACTGAGAGCTGGCTGGGTCCGGGAGGCAGGGTTCCCCTCCCGGAGATGTGGCCAGCCGGATTTTGGGTGTGGCACCAGCAAAGAACCTGGGGTAGGGGTGGTGGTGTGGCAATTGTTATCCAAGAATTGCTTACAGCTTTCAGGGGCGCTGCCTTGTAGGTCACTGGATGTGAGACCCTGTTCATTAATTTGGGCTCTAGGGATCAGTTGGGATTGTTGCTGTTGTACCAGCCTCCCTGCTGCATAGCAACTTCCTTGCCTGAGCTCCTTAACTCCATTTCCAGGCTGGCAGTGGAGTTCCCCAGTTTTATGGTCTTGGGGGACTTCAACCTGCCTTCTCTGGGAGTGGGGTCTAAGGTGGCTCAGGAGTTCATGGCCACGATGGCCATCCCAGGCCATCCAGAACCCGACGTGGCAGTGTCTATGTTATCTGCAATTGGAGGAGTTTTCAGTGCCCCCCTTGTCATGGTCAGATCATGCCCTGATTGCCTTGGGATTCTCTGGCACTGCTATCCACCGCAGGGAGGCTGGACCCATTAGACTGGTCCACCCCCGACAACTGATGGATCTGGAGGGGTTTCAGAGGGAGCTGGTGAGTGTCCCTATTGATCTGCTGCACGGTCCATCCAAGGCCTTGTTGTCGCATGGAATAAAGGGGCAACTGAGGCATTGGATCACATCATGCCTATGCAACTTCTCCCCTCTCAGGGATCCTATCCTATACTCCTCATAGTATATGGAGGAGCTAAGGGAGATGAAATGAGAGAACAGACGTCTAGAGCGCTGCTGGTGCTCAACTAAGGATGAACTCAACCAAACATAGGTTAGAGCTGCTGTTAAGGGCTAGCTTGTGGCAGTAAGGGCAGCAAAGCAACAGTACTTCACACTTATTGTGTCAGCAGGCTGCCACCCTGTGGCTCTGCTTTGGGTGACATGAGCCCTCTTGGGTAAAGGGGTCCCAGGGAACCTTTTGCAGGGACATGTGGAGGCACGTTACAGGTTCTGTCATCTAGGGAGCTACATCTGGCAGGCCCTAGGTGGTGGGCCTTTGCTGTGGCACCCGCATTGTGGAATCTTTTTCCCCCAGAATTGAGGTCAGCCTCATCACTTCTGAGCTTTTGAAGGTCCCTCAAGACTTGGTTATGCCAGCAGGCCAGGGGACCCCAGGGGATGGGTGAATTAGTGAGGTAGTTCCAGTATTTTTAATATCCCTCTGTCTATTATTTTCTTTTTCTGTTTTAGTTCTCCTTTCATAGTTTTTAGTGTTTTTAAAATAATTATTATATAATGCTTTTGGGCAATGCTTGTTTTACATATTTATTGCTTTATTAGCTTGGCATACACCACCCAGAGTAACTTTTTGTGAGAGGGGCGGCCATATAAATTTGATTAATAAATAAATGAAATAAATAAATGATGCATTATAGTCATGAGCCTGTGAGCAAACTAATGATCACTTTAAACCACAGAAAATATGGCAACACAAATACCTAATAGTCAGGCTTGCTAATCAATGGTATACACACAGTGGTCCTGCACTGAGGAAATAATGCATGCATAGCGATGGGAAAAAATTTCCACCATTCTACACAAAAAATGGCAACTGAAGGTGCCATAAGACCTTCATTGATGTGAACCACTGCAAATACCAAGCATAAATCACAGCTGGCCTGTTTGTTGGGTCATTTGATGCCAGACCCATTGGTAAATAGCACTAAATTAAGGCTTGGCATGTCATGTGTATATACACTGTGTATTTTCCACTCAGTTTTGTTTAACAGAGCATGGGCTTTTAATAAAATGCAGAGCAGACCTGGTTTTGAAGTTTATCTATTCTTGGTACACCTAAGTGAAAACTAGTTGCCCTGTCCTGCACACTTAAAGTTACTGCTATTATATGTTAAAATAAAGTTACTGCTATCTAAAACTATATGAGTTAAAATAGAGATACATTTAATAAAAGATAATCTTTGCAAGGAAGTGTGCTCACCATTAATCTGCAAGTAAAAGGAGAGCTCTTTTAAGTCATCTTCATGAAATGCTCGGACAGTGTACAAACCTCCTTCACTTTGTTTCACCCTTACGAGGGTCAGAGTAGTTTGATACCTGGAGGAAAATTTTTTTGCAACCGTTAAGATATTGGAGCTTATATGGAAGCACAAATTATGTTACTTTCAAGGGGGAAGTTTTGCATTCAAAGAGAGAAACCCATTCATTTCAGTTAAGCTAGAATGAATGAATGACTCTTGTGATACTTTGATAATCTAGAATTTGCCATCATGTATCAAATGAGGGCTAAACTAAACAATGCCTAGTGTGCCATCCTGTTCCAGTTTCTAATTTACTAAATATAAGCCCCCGGAGGCTTAATTTGTATTGGACCAATGAGTACAGAGAGGGGGATACAAAAATATTTCCCTCATCTTTGTATTATTATTATTGGTTGCATAGTCAACCAGATGTTTAGACTGGATTTGGCATTTTTATCAACCTTTCGAGCCCTTCCCAAGGACCCGGGATAGGCAGATATTGTTATTTGTTGGTGTTAAAGGTATTGTTGCAGGATGGAAGCTGTTCCAAGTAAAGCTGCCTTTTGGAATTGATTGATGGTGATTTTATCAGTGCCGATGGTCTTCAAGTGGCACTCCAGATGTTCTGCAATTGCACCCAAGGCGCTATTGGTACTATATTTGCTTTTTCTTGCCACACTCATGCTACTTCTATTTGCAGGTCTTTGTATTTTGTGATTTTCCCCAGTTATTTCTCTTCTATTCTGGTCTCTCCAGGTATTGCAATGTCCATGTTCTTAACAATTGTTAAGTCTGGGGTGTTGTGTGGCAGGTGCTTGTCTGTTTGAATTCTAA